CGGTTAGAGCTGGGATCAAGTAGAACATTGAAGGATTCTACCTCGGATGGAACATTTGCAGGGCCTTTACTGAGAAGAATAAGAAGAAAAAAAAACAGTTGGAACTGCTGTCCCCAAGAGAAAAAGTGAGGAAGGAAATGTTGGAAATAGTTGTTTGCATTTGATGATCTTGGAAAAGCTAAAAAACATTTAGGTCCCTTACTTGCAGCACAATGGCTCCAGAGCAATCTCTCCTGCCCTGGGGCACTGCTCAGGGACCTCTGTCTTCCTCCAGCACCAATGCTGTTGTGTTTCTGGTAAAAGTCTCATGGCCTTCAGACTAAAAGTGTTCAGTGGTAGTAAACCAAGCTGAGCTCATCTCAGCCAAAGTCTAAAATGGATAATGAGAAAACACTCTGTTGAATGCTTCTGTACTTGTTTTTCACTTTAAGGACCACAGATACCCCTCAGCCACTGAGCAACTACAGGCTGGAAAAGACCTGTTCCAGCAGCCACTTAAGTAATCACAGCACCTGTGAGAGTTTATTGTTTCCCCCTTAAAATCCCAACAGCTCCTTTCTTTATTACTAAACAAAGATTTTGGCTTTTGTTTAAAAACACACATCTTCATTTCAGTTAAAGAAAGCCTAAAGGTGCAAACATCAGAAGTTTAAAAGCCAGTAATCTTTGATTTTCTGTCTTCAGCACTTGGCACTGATGACAATGACAACTTCTGATATTGAAATTCCTGTGCAAGTGAGGCACTGTGTAAGGTTAAGCTGCCCATCTATACAACATGGATGCTCCTTTTGAATAGAGTAATTTTATGGAACAGGGGAGAAGGAGAGACTGTAGTTCTGTAGGCACCAGAAGAGTGTGCCCTGGCTTGCTTTGTGGGGTGGGAACATCTACTCAAGGATCCTGTGTATATCCCCTGCAATCTAACAAGCTGCACACCCATTCATAGCAAGCACTTCAAGGCTCTCTATCCTTGCTGCCTCCCCCTCACTTGCAGAAGCATTCTGAAAGTTTCTGGAAGTTTAAAAGAGGGATCGAATTTTAAACTTCCTAGGACTAATCACATAACCCTGCTTCCAGTAAGAAACGAGACTTCAAGGTCCCCACCTGGTTTCTGAACAAGAAACTGAAACAAATCTGAGCTGCTGTCTCCCCCCAGTGTCTGCATATTTTCTTGTTCAAGTCTGGGAATGGGTAAGATCTCTTCTTATTTTGGAAACTCTAGGATATCAGCCTGCTGTGACACCCATCACAAGCTGCAGGGGTTATCTATGCTGTAGCCCTACTCCAAAGTTAAGGAAAAAGGAAGCCAGGCTGGACCAGATTTGAAGCCTTACACACATAAAGAGGTTTTCTGATTTGGCTGTAGAGGGAAAAAGGTTGTGGTGTCGAGGCTTTCTGAGGAGACTCAGCTTCTTTTTTCCCCATTCAAGCCAGGGGCAAAAAGGAGGCTTCTTGTGTTAATTCCCTTTTGGTACATGTTTGGCAGGGTAGGGTCCCCACATTTTAATGCCTGTCTTGATTGCTTTGGGTGCTAAATAGTTCCAAATTTATGATAAATGGCTTGCTTTAAAGGGAGCTTGTGGACCTTAGATATTGCTTAAAGAGCAACTGTACTGAAGTAGAGAATACCCCTGTTTCAGTCTTAAAAGCAAAACAAGAAAAGCTCATTATTAGTCTAGAAAAATTTACTCTTGATTGAGAGTCTGAAAAAATCGATTGGGGCCAATATTCAAAGGCAACAAGTCACTGCCTGGAGCCAAGGCACTGCTGACTTTTGAAGCTGGTGGACACCATACAGGCCTGATAATTTCCTGTTATGGTTTCAGCGTGTGGCTTAGCTAAGTACCTTGGTGCATTTCCCTCAATAGCTGTTTAATGGAGGTGGTTTGCAGAGTCAGTTCTCACTGCACACCGAAGGGCCATTTCATCAAATTACCATTCAATTCCAGCCTTGCATAGACAGATGACTGCTGAGATGGTAGAGGAAAACTGCTGGTTTACAATGGCATTACCAACTCCCTACCCTGGCAGTCCTGAGGCTGCTGTAGCAAGGATATTGCTGTATCCCTGGAATGGGTTTCTGCAATACTTATATTCCTCAGTCACCAAGGTGACCGCATGAACAGTGAGATTTAAAAAAATCACTGCAGCTCCCAGTGAGTAACTCCACCACAGCGAGAGCTCTCTCAGCATCAGCTGTATCAGCTGCATACAAACTTAGTCAGGTAGCACTTGACAGATGAATACTGCAGCAGCATGTGCTGGTGTGACCACTCCAGCCACTGGGCAGGACCGAGCCATCCCATAGGCCTACCATATCCTGGTGGACCCCCAAGGCTTCTCCAAGGGCCCTCTGCCTCTCATTTTCCCTCCTCTTCCTGCTCTACTGTCAGATTTCAGCTTCGCCTTAATTTCCAGGAGACATAAGGATCTAGGAAGTGCTTTACAATGGAAACATGAAGGGGAATGCAAAGGGAGACGTACCAGTTGGCACTGACATGCATGCCTAAGCCTTTAATTCTGTGAAAAGAATCTGCTCTGTTGATTAACCTACTAAGATTAAGTTAGTTTGTCCTCCATGCTAACATGGGACAGCACATGCACGAATAGCTAGCAACGTCAATGAAAATCCTTTCTGCTTCATAGGCCAAGTAGTAGAGAGCCATACACAGTTCCAGATACTATGCACAGTAAAACAGTGTAATAAACCTCCTAGCATGAAATGTCGCCAAAAGTGACACTGGTTTGTGTTAATCTAAGGAAGTCTTAGGTGCAGAAAGTAGTTTGAGAAAGACCTGCCTGGAAAAACCACTCTCCTGGGTTTGTTCATCTGGGTTCAACAAAGGGCCCACGAGTATCAGATTTATACCCTTGCAGGAAGCAGTTGCTCAAAAAAAGCTGCATTAGAGCATTTTCTTCTGTCTGTCCATGAACTGCATACACACCCTTGAGGAATTCAGAGTGGTTTTCTCTTTAAAACCAGCCACCTGCTTGCAGCTAATCTTTACAAACTGCCTCCCCTGCTGCTCTAACTGTAGCATTCGAGTAAGCAGCAACCAAGGCCATTATTTTTTTTAACAAAGGATTTTTTATTGCATAAATAGAGGCTTAGATATTTCACTGTACATAAAAAAACCTTGAGATACAGCTTAAGTGAATGTTACTCTTGAGGGTTTTATTCCTTTGACACATCCTTCATCTACAGGAAGGCTTCGTTCTTCCAGGAAAGGAATCCAATGCAAGCTGCCAAGTGTCAGAAAATCTGCAGGGTGGAGAAACAGCAGTGAGAACAGGCATGATATACTGGCAGCACATGGGCTAAATCCGCCTGCCCACGTGGCACGCTGCAATCAGAGCTAATCACAGCTCTGCGGTGCTGACACCGGAGAACATTTTTAGGGTAGGAGAATTCAGCCCTTCTTGCAAGCCCATTATAGAAAGACAAGGTAGACAGCCCAAGAGATGGCAGAATTTAGGAAGGACTGGGCCCTTGCTGGGCAACACGGGGTGACTGGGCAAGTAGGGCATTCACTGCAATATCAGGGATGCTTTATAGCCAGTCATTCAAGGTGAATGTCACATGCTGGACACAGAGGTCTTGCGGGACAAGCTCGTTACCCTGGTGCAGCAATCCCTTGGGCTATGGAGTCTGCCAAGGAGAACTCCCTGGGACCCAATGCTGCATGCACAGCATGGTATGGTCTCCTCATTACAAGTGTCAGGCTTGTTCACTGGCAGGGCAGCCCATCTCTCATTTGTTTAGCAATAAAACTCCATCTAACTGACTTTGCAAAACCAGAAAGCAGTGTTCTCACAGCATTTTCCAGTGGCTAGTGAAACTGATATAAAATCAAAGTTAAAAATGGCAGAAGTCTGCCCAGGGACAAGTCCTCAACCTGATGTAAACAGGAGATTGAAAACCACCTTTGGCTTTGTTGTTTTTTCAGTGCAAATGAACCACTTTGTTCCCATGGTTATTGCCAGGGCCCCATTTCTAGTCAAAATTTCCAATGTTGTATGAAATAAAAGTGAGAGGTTTCAAAACAAATTAGTAAACATTTCTAAAACTGAGATTCTCTTCAGATGTGAGGTGATGACCTGAAAAGGGGAAAGTAAATTTTCTAGTTTAATAAAGAGTAACATTGCATCAAACTCCCACTGAGCTTACAAAGGGCAGGCAAGAATAGAATTCCCATTTTGCTGCAGAACAGAGAGATGTGAAACAAACCGATACAAAAAAATCACATACCAAACAAGTCAGGGAATATCATTGTAGCACTAGGCAGCACTCATTTTGCTAATGGACTTGATGCAGTAGGACAATGACTGCTTAAACTTTGAAAACAGAGGGAAGGACTTCAGCACATGTGGAATGAAAACCCCAAACTAGGAAATTTTGTAATAATCATTTTGCTTTCTTATGCAGAAATATGTCAATTTTTCTCATGAATTATATATAGTGGATGTTACATAGCATACCCTGTAGCATTTCTGTTACCTTGGGAAGTTCCATGGCATGAGACCTGGCCCTTCCAGCTGAACTATCTATAACCTGTCATGTATTTAACTAATATGGAGTGGCAGATTCTTTTCTATCTTAATTATGTGACTTAAGCCAAGAGGTCTTACTGTATCATTCCATCTGGTGTGCTTCTCATGCATTTTTTTCCCGATTTAACCATCTCTAAACATCAGGACTTCCTGTGCAATTGGCTGGATGGAGATAAAGAGCAGAGAAGGAATACTGTGCTAAGATCTCCTAAATCACGAACTATCACTGACAAATTTTCTGGTGGGAACTGCAGTTCCTACAAAGAATGGGCATGATACAGGTGTGCAAATACACTGAAACATCACAGGAGACAAACTTTACAAGAACTCAGATGATAGTTCTACTCACACGATCCAAACGCATTCCAGTCAAAACATAATGGGATTACTGTGTCAATGCCATTATCAAACACCAGGATGCCAAACAAATTCTATACCTGAGAGACTCTTCAGTCATCCTTCTTCTCTGCTTCTGCTTTCAATTTCTTTTCATGCTCCCTCTTCAGTTTTTCTTCAATTTTTTTGCTCTGATACATTTTTACTCCAGCAAAAGCCAAGCAGAGAATCAATGTTTTAGCTGCCAAAATGTACATCAGCAATGGGAAATTCTCCAAAGCCTGAAATACAAAATAATATATTTAAGGCAGCTACTGGAACACTTGGACAATTAAAAATGAATCTACAGGGATGCTATACAGCTTCCTACAGCAACAGCATAATTCAAAGCAACGGTAATGCTCTTCTGTTCCTGCTTTTTTCCTGCAGGAAACTTTTAAACTAGGTAGATCAACGTCTAGGGCAAAACACAAAAACAAGTTCACTCAAGTTTGTATATGAAGCCCTTTCAAACTGGTCTTTGCTGCTTTTGCTTGCTTTACAGCCAATGGAAATTGGCACCATCTGGAGCTAAAAAGGGGGAATAATTGAGTTTCCTAGGATAACTGTAAAAGTGGAAAGACTTCTGAACAATTCTCACATAAGCAATGGATCCGTGCATATCAGCTATCAGATGTGATCCCCAAAGACACTTTTATGCTCCTAGAAATTTAATCCTCAGTAGTTTTGCGATTAACTTGACCAGATCTGGAAGGTATAGATTAATGCATTTAAACTGGAAGAAAAGTAAAAAACCCACAGCCTCCAATGATTCAGTTTCAGGAGTTTTGAATGCCTGGAATCACCAATATTGCACAAGGTATACCAATGTTATAAAAGCATGCTACTGTAACTGCACATGGAATGTAAAATGAAAACTGGGTAACACTGTGAACTCAAAATACAAATATAATGAGAGTGGCACAGGCACTCAGTGAAAGATGTCAATTCCAGTAGGATACTGAAGGTACATGAACTTCCCAGACCACCGTTTCAAGTATCCACCTGACCAGCAGGATCAGTCCTGCCTTTCAATGATGCACAGCAGGTTCGCAGTGCCAGCTCCCCCTTAGCAAGCCTTCCAGTACCCCTCTGTACCCTTACCAGGCTTCCCAGCATCTCATAAAGCTGTTTGGCCATTGTCAAACTACTGAATTTAGAAAAAGCCTTGTATCCATACATCATGAGTGTGCTCCCTTAAAGCCCGCAAATCAGAGGCTCAAGTGGGGTCTTTCATAACACTGATCTCTACAAGCTGCATGTTACCTTTAACAACAGGACACTCCCCTGTAATTCTACAAAAACCCACCATCCCCTGTCAATCTCCCCAAATACTTAAAGTGGCAATCTCTTTCAAGCACAGATCTGCAACACGAGAAAGGTAAAGCCAAGGCTTGGCGTTAGCATTGCTTTCTTGATAAATGGTTTGATTTAACATGTTAAATTGTTAATGCATGATGTACTTGCTCAAACATTTCTGTGCCTTATACACATATCCTGCAGCGTTTATGTCCCCAGTGCACTAAAAGACATAGCAGAGAAAACACCCTCCAATAATGAAAGAAGCTGAGGGAAGAACAGCCAGAGAAAAGCCTGGAAAGGGAAAGATGGGAGGAGCAGAGGCAAGTAGAGCAGAGCTTGCCTACTAGCACAAGTGTGAGGCCCTAACAGCAAGTATTTGGCCCAGCCCACAAGGTGCAAGCACATACGGTAGTAAAGGACAACAGTAATGAGTCCTTTGTCCCTGAGGTGCAGAGTGTGGTGATTAAACGACCTTCACCTAGGCAAGGAAACAACCTTTAAACACAGGACCCATCCAACCAAATCTTACATGCATTAACATCCAGCCACCTCTGAGTCCCCGTTATGAACACAAAACATCCTCCCTCACCTTCCAGTTAAATGCCACCATCTTGGCTTCGTGTCGGTACTGCCCGTCCCGCAGCAAGCTGTGCCCCGCACTGGCGCGTGTCACACGTGTACAGGCACAGACCGGGGCAGGACCATCTTCAAGCAAAGGAAAATGAAAAACAATGAACCAGTCCGTTTCTGCTCAGCACGTCAACCCTGCACCTGACAAACACTGCTGTGCAGCGCCTGGCAGCATACCAGAGCCATGCAGCCCAGAAATGACCTCCATAGGCCTTTTTGGAGCTGAGTGACAGGAGCAACGTCCGTGCTGCTGAAGGGCAGGGGTCTGAGAGGCCGCGGGCAGGTGCCACGCTTGCGCACAGCACAGGCTGTGCTTCCACTGAGCGCAGCACATCCCGGCGGCTGCTCAGCTGAAAATGCTGGCTCTTTTGAAGAGCTTGACATGTGTGCACACCACACCGCCTCGCTGAGGTTTGAGATCTAGTGGGCACAAGTGCCAGAGGAGTCGTCTTGTGGTTTTTAAGCTCGCCTGCCCTGTTTGGAGCCTGAATGCCTAATGAATCCTAGTATCTAGTACAGTTTACCAGTTCTCTGATTTACTAATAGATTGAATTCTCCATGCAGCCTGTAACACAAAGGCAAAGCAACCGCTCACTGGATTCCTTGAGTGGTCAACATATGTTTCAGAGCTGAACTTCGGAGGTGAGAAATGCTGGAGGGGATGCTGAAGGCTGCAGCATACAGCCACAACACTGCCCTCCGGTCTCTGTTTGCTGCTCCACCAGCACTGACACCATTTCAGCTACTGCATTTCAAATTAAGCATATTTCCCTGCCTGATGCCCTCGAGGTGTTTCCTGTATGTGCAACAACAAAGTCACTGTCAAAAAGCAGGAGGAAGCCCTCCAGCTTAGTCCAGACCTTCACGAGCAGCTAGGCTGAATAAATCACCACCACACCACAATAGCTGCTGCTGACCTTTCTTCAGAAACAAGGAGTCAAATAAATGTTCCTGCAGCTCCTGCGATGCTCAGCCAGCTTCTTCATAGATGCCCTCGTTTCTCCAGCTAGGCTGTCTTCCTCTCTCCTCTTCCCCCAGCTGCAAAATCTTCACCCTGCAGAGACCACCCTGAAAACACCCCCATGGAGAGACACCACCAGAGATCTGTTACCGAGATCGAACTAAAGCAGTGGTGTGGCCAACTCATTTGTCATTCAGTTTTTATTGTGTTGATCCCAAGTTGTGCAGCTCCCTTCTGTTGATAAAATGTCAGGGCAACTATGAACTAGTACTGTTACACCTCCAAAAAAAAAGGCATTTTAGCTTCTGCTGTTTCCTTCAGAATTTCAGCGACCAATAAAAGCTAAAGTCCCCTGCTAGCTGGGCACAGCAAAAAACCTGCAGCAAAGCAGAATCGGGTACTCAGTGTCTGGTTCAGATGACTACACACTTCTCAGTGAAACCAAGCTACACAAGCCTGGCCTGATCTGAAGGGACTGCACTGCCCAACTAGGGTGTCCTCATCTCAAAATGCTGACATGGATGGCAGCCTCATCAGCAACAGCCTTCACTCATCTCCTAAATTGCTGTACTTCAGTCAGAATCAATTTTGCAACATGTTGTAAAAAGGCAAGAATTCAGCCATTCAAACACACACCAGCATCTGGCATATGATGCTGAAAATGGGGGTTTAGTGATTTTTTATGTACAGAAAAAGTTTTCGACTCAGCAAACGTTATGTGAGCCCATCTGTGGGGTCTGATTGCAGGGTACTGTCCCACCAGCAAGAAGCAGTGTATAATGTGTATCACAGTGTGCACTCCTGTGAATGCTCTCGCTTGTGAGCCAATTATTTAAGCATTCAGCGCAACACTTTTGTAATATTTCCGCTGTGCTGAGACATGAGCCTGAATCTGCCTGAATTGTTTATCCACCAGGAGTAGCTGCACTGAAGTCACAAAGGATGGGAAGGAAAGGAATTCTCCATTTACTCTGAAGAGGGGTGTTTTGATCCAAAATGTTTCCTGTAAGAGCTGACACTTTTGATGGCTTGTCCTCACAGTGTCTTCTGTGGCTGGAACTGAGCAGGGAAGCTACCACTCTCTCCTCACTGCATTCCCACATCCTGTGCTACCAGCCTCCTGTGGTCAAGCACTTCTCCCCATTTTGTCTCTTGACTCTTCTGGTCTCCATCTTGATCCAGACCTTATAAAACACAGCTGAAACCCCAGGACAGAAAAACATGCATGGAGCTGGGGCATGGGATAGGGAGAAGAAAGTGGGAAGAGGGGAGAAAAAGGCAGGATTCATTTCACATTTGAGAAACATTTGTTAGCACTGAGGTCATCAATTCAAAAGCAAAAAGCTCAGACACTGTACTTTCAAGGTTGTGATATCTTAAAAGCATGCAGGCAAATAAACAGCTGAAGTTTCATGTTTGCCTTTTCAGAGACAGATAAGGCACAGATAGGAGTTCAGAACACATCTACAGTCAGGCATTGTTCGTTCCCCAGGAAAACATAAGCTCCCTTAACAAACAGCACCGCTGGGAACAGAGACTGAGCCCCACGGAAGGTCACTATTACCTTCACTCACAAGCAAGGAGGTCTCGTGTTGAGCCACGTGAGAAAGAAAGAGGACCACCAGGCTCTGCCTGAAGCCCTGCCTGAGACTCCATAAGCCATCCATCATGTACTTACAGATTCCTGTGCAGGGTAGGGATAAAATGATATCACTCTTGCATGTATTCATGACCTTCTTCACCACAACTGCACCTCACGGTCACTAGCCTATTTATCTCCTTTGTGAAGCAGAAACAACTACTGCAGGTGGGAAAGGGAGGTCTGCCTGTATCACACACCTCGGTGCTGTACTAGCAATCCTCCATTAGTTCCAAATGCTGTGAGGTCTTCTTGGTCCAGAGCAGGCAGAGAGGGTCACCAACATGGCCCTACAGGCTTGTGTCCTCAGCAGAGCTAAAGAGCTCCCAGAGAGGGCTGCACCGAGTCCCAGAGCTAGACTTTGGCTGATACCAGCCCCAGGATCTCTGCACAACGCTGTGTTGTGCAAGCCAGACCACCCCAGACAGACTAAGGAGCTGGGCCCCAGTCAGATGGGAAGTCTGTGGTGGAGCACAGAATTGAATCCAGGTCTCTCAGCCACTGAATTACAGCTCCAGTCCACCACAGCAACCACATCACAGCCCAGCCACTCATGCCATTGTTTTCTTATGCAGCAGCAGAGTATCAACTGGCCTGAATGCACCAGAAAACATCTACACAGGCATCTGGGTACTCACCAACCCACTTGAGTTGTCTTGGCTGAATGTCTCACTCAGCCTGCCAATAACTCCATCTACCCAACAAAATGGGACTCAGGATATTCTTTTGTCTACTGGGGATTTCTGAGCAACTCCATTCTACCCACTTTATGAAAAGCTATAAAAGTCACCATCCCCAAGACCTCAGAAAGCAATGAGATACTAGGGTTATGTGACTGCATTTAAAATGGTGCGACGGCTGAGTATGTCCTGAGCTAGAAAAGGGGTTTCACTCCACCTGTCTCGTTACTGCTTTCTTTAATGCACATATTTCAGGAAGCAAAATGCATATTTCCCACATGTACAGTCACTGGAGGATCCACCACTATATGTGACCTGCTGTGTCATGCTTCAGGCTGAGCGTCTGCAAGACAAGATCAAGCTTCCTTAAATAAAAAAGACTACTGGGTCATGGGAAAACATAGCGATATGGAAAAGCACAATTGCTGCAGCCCAGGCTGCAGAGAAACACAGTGGAAGCAACTGAGAGCCAGAGCTGCTGTGCTAAGAATGCTTCATAGACCACTGCTACATGATGCAGTGGTTATATTAAGTCAAAAGCACTAAGACCTGCACACATTTACAGCCTCTCTCTGTGTAGGTGGGTAAAGACATCACTCCATAAAAAGACCTGTGTAATCACTCAGTTTACACTACTGTCAGTGATGAAGAAATTCCTAAACTAACACCAACTCAAGGAACATCAAAAGCCTGAAGCCATATAAGATATTCATACCTGAAGCAGCAGAAATTAAAATATTAGAGATTTCCTCTGGCAACTCCTCACATGCTCCAAACGCTGGAAAATAAGAACAGAGCAGATGGAATGTACTGATCATGGCACCTGGATTAAAATCGTATCAAACCAAATCAAAACCAAAAATGTCAGTACCTTTCACCCACATCCCAGGGTCCTTGCAAGCTGCAGGCCCTTGCTTGCTGCCACCACCTTGCCCTAGGAGGGCCTGCTGGGCTGGCAGCATCCCGCGCCTCCATCCCCACCCCAGCTCTGCCCTGGTCACCCTTCCTGGTCCCTGCAGCAGCAGTGCCCAGCGCAGCCAGCAACCCACACACACCCGGGGATACCAAACCTTACCAACAAATGGTAACTTCAGACCCCTCTTACTTATTCACTTCATTTTTTTCTTAGAGAACAATAACACTCGGCAGATCCATACAGAGTAAAGCACAATTCCAGGTGGCCATGCCCCGTACCCTGCAGTGAGACTGCCGAATCAGGCCTGCCCGTGGTTTACGGCCAGCAAGCACGTCTCCAGCGGCTTTAAAACCACACAGTCCCTCGCTTGAGAGGCAGCCGGGAGACCGCAGGTTACTGCGAGGGCGCTTCTGCTGCCGCCTCGCACACTCTCAGGCCCCCGGGGCCGGGGCAGTAACCGGGAAGATGCCGGGATCAGACAGGCAGGGCGATGGGCAGGGCGATGGGCAGGGTGGGCAGGCAGCCCGGGGGGTAGGGCCACAGGAGAGCAAGGACGGGGGGCAGGAGAACGGGCCAAGGAAGGTACGCTGGGCAGGAGTGGGCAGGCGGGAGGCAGGGGAAGGCC